CTCTTCAGGGAGGTGCTTTTCCCACAGCCAGGTGCAATTGTGCACATTTTAAGCAGCACGTTTCCGATAACGTTGCCTCTCCGCCTTCTAAGTTGCATTTTCTTCTTTTCCAAGAAAGCTTAGGACAGCAAGATCCTACTAAACTCCTACTGCGATTGATGCAGAGCTGGTGTCTTAGATGCTCCGCGTGGAGCAGAGGCTCACAGACCCCGGGCTCCCAGACACCCGCACACAGCCTGTAGAAAAGCCGTGGATCTGCAGGGCCGGCTGTGGGCTCCCATCTGCAGCAGAACCAAGTCATGTCAGCGCTATAGACAGATACAGGGCATGAGCCCTCTGCATGTAGCCTTTCTCAAGATTGCATTCCTCCTCTTGCCTTCCATCCCAGAGTTCCATGCTCAGGAGCAAGCGTAGCCTGGCCGAGCCTCCACCAGAATTGACCTCTCTCCAGTGCGGTGGTTGGTGCTGCATCGCTTCTTGGTCCTGGACCCCCTCATTGGGTCTCCCTACTCCAGGCCAATCTCGCCCTTCCACACGAAACCTCACCCGCACACGTCCCCAAGCCAAGAAGCAGTGGTCGTGGATCCCAGGCCAAAAGCTGCCCAAGTCAGTTTGTAGGCGCTGACTGACCATCAGGCACCCAGAACACCAAAGAGGAGAATGGTAGTATCTACTGGGTGATCCAGAGCCAAGGGGAGGGTGTAAAGTGGTTTGGGAATAAATATTGGATTTTGTTTCTTATTTGAAAAACCATGCTCAGATTAATAGTAACGTATCTATCTGTCTACAAATCTGGTCCCTCTCAATCAATCTCTCTCTCCACCTATTCAACAGCAGAGAAATAAATTCATGACGTGTGTACATGTGTGTGCGCTCCAATCTAAAGTTGAAATAAACTTCTATGGTTTGGGTTTTATTCAAAACAAGGAGAGGAGGGTACCCAGTACAACATTTCAGACTGTTCATTTTTTGCTTTCACATAATTATATCGATGCGAAGTAAATCTATGCACTCCTAGCATGTCCCCACACCTGCTGGTAACTTTTCAGGCCACAGTCTGTTCTCCAAAACAATAGGCACGGTCCCTGAGAGTTTGATCAACTCTTCACACCTCCAAGAAACGACAACGGCAGTCAGCCACACAGGCGGCTCAGAATAATGCCACCTCCCAGGCATTTACTGACAGCTGGGATTGGAGGGGATCCTTTTACTGAAATCAGGTGCATGTTTGCAGGTCACCTCCAAAGGCATAGTCTTTTGGAAACACATGTATCACAGCTCAGTAAGGCAGGAAAAACACACGTTCCCATTTTAGAAATTCAGTTTAGCTGGGGCGAGCCTCCAGGCTCCGAAAGCAGGCTCTGTTGGAGGTTTATTATTCAGAAACCTTCCCTTCGGATTGGCAGCCTCCCAGCAGCCACTCTTCCTCCAGCGTTTTTCTATTTTTTTCTGTCAATAAAAAAATTTAACTCTGGGGTCTCTCTGGGTGATAAGTTTCAAGAGCAAGATATCCAGCAAAATTACTGTCATGCAAACAAGTCTTTTGAATGTCTCTAAATGGATAATGGGTGGGGCATAATCTAGACTCAGAAAGTTGTGTCTGTATCTATGAACATGTTCGATTTTAACGCAGCAGAGGAGCTATGACTGCAGCTATGATCGTTTCACTCACGTAGGACATTATGTCAGAAACAAATGAAGTTCTTGGCTTAAACTAATCAGGGAGTGGAGGTGCTTTGTTCATAAGGGAACGGAAATCTCTGAACCACAGATTCTAATGAATTTGTTTTTTAATTAAAAAAATAATAATAACCCTAATATTTCTGAAAAACCTATCTCCAAACCTCAGATGAAATGGAAAACATCTGAATTTGCTGGGCTGTGTCTCCAGAGGTTGTGCTCCGGAAAGTGAAAGGCGCTCAGAGAGGATAAATGTCACATGTCGGGGGCACCCTGGAATGGGAGTGGATACACACTGTATTTCACATCAGTAAGTACCATGGCAACAAAAATGAGAATCCACGTTCCCAGCCAATGGTCTTGTTGAGGTATATTTACTCTAACAAAATTCCAGCAGAGCCTCAAAATTGAGCTCCCTCTGGAGTTTTAACGTACCTGACTTGTGTCTTCCGTGATCCAAATTATAGTTTTAAGGCGCTCATAATTCACTCCTTGATCTTCATGCTTTCAGTGTTAAACGGAGACCGAAATTAAATTTATATTTGAAATAAGAACACTTCGCCTTGCAGATGACTAATGAAATTTGGGACTAATTGACTGCTTACGATTAACTGACTGCCATCCGAGGCTCGTAACATTTTAATGTGCGCTGCCTCACAGTGCTATTCTCATGGGTCCCTGCTCTCAACACGTGTAGGCAGCCCCGTCTGTATGAGTAGGAAATATACATTAAGACGAACGAGCTTTCTAGACACCCGTGGCAACAGAGTAAAATAATTTGATTTTCGGCGGGATGTAATATTAGGTTAGCACAGGAATTCCAAGATAATCTTCTCATATGATGAATTTAAGACTAGGAAATTAAGCAATATATTTTTAGAAAAATGTCTCTTAGGCCACTTCTAGAAGTCTTTACCCCCGTGTTTGTTGGATTGTCAATGACTACTGTCTTTGTTCATTTTTAGAGGAAAAAGCACAAACTTAACATTATCATAAAATATCATGTACCTACATCATACATGAGCAGTTTTGTCTGAAATTATGGCACATGTTAATAATAAATTGAATTTATGTAGCATGATTATTCTATAACTATCAAATAATCTCTAATTCTAAATTTCCCTATTCTACTCAGAAATTAATATCCTCTGATATCTAGAGTTATAGAAAGAAGAGCTTAAATAGCATCTTGAATTATTCCTTTCAATTTATTTTTATACCCCCAGAAAAGACACACTGAGTTTTCACTAGAACAGATCAATTTTTGGCTGAGAGAAATTTCATACCTTGGAATGGCAGAAAGTAATGCTTCCTGTAACTGCTGACAATTCCCTTTGGTGCAAAGCACTGAGCACAAAGACGTGCTTCGAAGGACATATGTTACACCAGGGTAAAGCCGAGGAACAGAGGCATCCAACTCAAGGGACCCCGTCCTGTGTCGGGCACTCCTGTGCCGGACCTTCAGACTCCGGGCTCCCCAGGGCGGTGCGGGAGCTCCTCTAAAGCATCAGTTCTCGAAGTGCGGACCAGGCACTCTGAGACTGCCTCCTCCTTTGAGGGAGTGCTCAAAATCAAAGTTATCTTTTATACTCCTAAGCTATTTTTTTTTTTATTTTGCTTTTCTAAATCCCATTCTCTCCTGAGTGCGCCATGGAATTTTCCGGCTTCATGACCCGTGACATTACGATGAACTGAAGGCAGAGGGACATTGAAGATATTGGCAAACATGTCAACCGTTGCCACTCTCTCACTAGACATTTTTTTCTGTTTTGGAAAATATAATTATTCTTCATTTTTAAATGTTGCTTATGGTAACATGCCACAGGCTTCTCGCTTTATTTTTAATGACTGAACGAGTAAACCTTTTTTAAATTTTTCCATTTTAATTTCGAATATGGGAGCCACCCATGGATATAACCAGTATAAACAAAAATTCTTTGGGGTCCTCAAGAATGTTTAAGAATTAAAAGGAAATTGTGAGAACAAAAGGTTTGAGAATGGGTGCCGTAGGGGGGCTCTGAGAAGTCTTTTGCCTATGAAGTCCCACGATTCCAGGCTGTGAGGGTCTGTGGAAATGAACCCCAATGAAGAGATGGACAGGACTCTGTGAACCAGGGAAATCGGGAAGCTCCTACGCGGCGGGGGGTCCATCCTTCCCCAAGTCACATCGAGCGAGCGGAAAGGAAGAGCCCTGAGCACCAGGAAAGGCTCGTGAAAGAATTCACTCCCTGCCCCGCCGTCCCTGCCACCTCTGATCAAGGCATTCTTGGGCGCCAAACCCTCGCCTTATTGATATAATGACCTTTCACCCCAGGGGTCCCCCCCCCCCGCCCCGGCCCTATCTAACGGGATGGCCCAGACCAGCTGGGCGAGTCAGCAGGGTGCAGGCGAGTACAGTGCAGAGGACCATTCTAGTGCCTGAGTGTTGCTCGGACTCATGACGGGGCGTCCAAAGTGGGCTGCAGGCCCCCGGGGAGCCTCACAGCTCACACGGGAGACCGGACTTCCCGCCGCTGGATGCGCCGGCACAGGCCTGAGCCTTTCCAGGGGGAAGCAGGGCCAGTTTTCCGCCAAGCTTGAGTTCATTTTGCGAGGAATGGAAGGCGAGAACGCCCAGACTCCAGCCTCACGGGAACCGTGACTGAAGCCCCCAGTGCCTCTCGGGCATTCTTCATTATTGCGAGTCACCTCCTGGACAACCGCACTCTCCCAGCTCTGTCTCCTCCCAAGTCCCCGTTCTGCCCATTGCTGGTCACACCCCAGCTCCTCGGTGTCCTCTCCCACAAGATAGGATCATCCCTACAGTTTAAAGCCCAGGTGGGGACGGGAGTCCCGGGACTCCGGTCTTGACTGCACACTTCCAGTTTCTGGTGACTGCCCCTCCCCTGGGACCAGCGCTGGTCTCCGCGCGCGGGGAGGCCTGAAGCAGACTTCAGAGCCTCCTTTCAGGAGTCAAGCACTTCACAGTTTTCAGAGCATCTATCTCATTTGATCTTATTTTATCCTCACAACAACTGGGATGGTTCTCACCAGCCCTAATGAAGAAAGCAGAGAGCTATATTTGCATTGTAATTACCATGTTGCCCCAAATGGGAGCCATGCTGTGTGGAGGGAACTGTTCCCGCCACTGCATTTAGCCAGCTCCGCTCCCTCGGTAAAAGCAGGCCATGCTGCTCACAGAGACCTGCTAGAGCCCGCTCCAAGCCGGAGCACAGACGTAGAGGGAGCTGATTTCTGTGGGAGGCGTGACCCACGCCTGTCGTGTGCCCAGGGCTGAAGGGGGAAAACAATAAGTAGATGAACGACTCATGTCATCTTACCATTTTCGCCGGATGTCTTGTCTTTTCCATTGGTTGCCCCAGCACCTTGTCGCTAAAGGCATAAAAAAAAAAAAAAAGGAAAGAAAATGTTATCAAATATACTCAGAATTATTTTGTCTCTTATTGTTTCACAAATCTCTTTCATTATATCAAGTGCTGTATTGCCTTTGCTCAGGTGCTGAAAGCCAGGGGCTTATAGACCATGAAAGGAGCAACTCCAGAAATGACTTAATGAAGTGGCACAGGCCAGCCTCCCTCGTCCATACCAAGGGACAGCAGATGACAGACTTGTTGGCAGAGCGTAACCTCACTGGGAATAGGAGGGAAACAGCCGAGGGTCTGTGCCAACCGTGCGAAGATCAGAGCTGTTGCCTTGATCCACGGAGGCCATCAGCTGGCTGTAGTTTCGTTCCAATCACAGCACCAGCATCTTATTTAAATAAACGTTAGTCAACTAAAAAAATGATGTTGATAGCCACACTTTCTCCTACTGTGGAGTTATTTCTCTGCCATTGTTTGTGCCTCTTCTGCGCTTGCGTGTTTTACCTGGCTGACAGGAAGTGTAGCAATTTCACGGTTAAACTTGAAGGTTTAAGCAGGGCGGTCCGCGTGTGAGGAGCTGTGTGAAAGGCATTACACAGGCAAACGTGTAAGCATGTCCCTCAAGGCTATTTAGCTACTGTTTTTAATAACTTGATGCTGCTAATCGTTCTAGGCCAGGGAGAGAAAAGTAGCTTATCGAACAAATTTTCCAGTAACGATCAGAAAATATGCTTTCAGGTGAAAAGGATTGAAGAGATATAACGTCTCTAACTTTGAGGTGAAAAAATAAAATGAAACTGGGTAGGGAGACTGATTTGTCCAAGGTCACAGTCAAGACTGGAGACGGGGCTTCCTTGCCCAGAGGTCAGTGTTGTGTAGGAATTGTCCTTGTTACGTAACTCCCTGCACGGGACCTTGGAAAGCACGGCAGAGGACCAGACAGGGAGAAAACCGCTGGAGGTGACTCCCACTAAGAGATAAAAGTGCACTCAAAATTTGTATTTTGGTCCAAGACTTCAGCCTAAAAATAATATCAAAGACATAACAATCAGTTAATCAGTTCCCATTAGTGTGGTGTCGTCATGAGAAATTCCCAGGTCCCTTAGTCGACCGTGACTGGGAAAATATTGCTCTCAGGTTCTGATTGTGGAAATAAATAGGGTGAATGATTAATGTTAATGAAGCGAACCCTCCTGTGTTTGCTCATTGCCTTGCGCAGATGATAACCCGAGAGAGGCAAAGGCAAGTCTCCTGTTTATTAACAACCCCAGCGCCCAGGCATGCGCACCCCCTCAATCCTAGCCAATGTGAAGCATAAATGTGCCCCCAGTCTGTCTGATTCTGAAAGGGCGGAACCACTTCTCTGTGGCAGGAAGTGAAAGAAAAGGTGACAAGATGGAAAGTTTACATCAATGTGGGTCCCTTCTCCATAGTTAGGTTGGAACACCTTAAATCGTCAGAATGCCAGATCTTTCCCATGTTCCCATGGAGGGAGAAGGTTGCAGTTCTGCGCCAAACCTCAGCTGCTCCTCAGTGCACCCCAGCGAGGTCCCCACGCCAGGACACCATTCCCTAAAGTGCTCGGCCTGCAACCTACGCCACGGCCACCTCCATTCTAACCAAATCACTCTTCTTAGAGAGGAGATGCGCGAGTGGAAATGCCCCTTTCTCCTTGCCTGCGCCTATTTTGATAACTCCTTTTTTCAAACACAAAGCAGTAAGTTCAAGTTCACTGCGCTCGATGGAAGTCTGATCACCACTGGGGAGGATCAAGCAGCAGTATAGCAGCTGTCGGCGGCATTCAGACCCTCCACCCTTCCCCACATTATGCATAGATGCCTCATTTAAAAAAAAAAAAATCAGTTTCCACAAATTAAAAGTACCATGTTCTAGAGCTGAATAATGTCCTAACAGCTTACAAGTGCAAAATAGGTGTGCACCCAACCCCACTGTCTTTAAATACCTTAAACATCGACACCTTTCAAAAAGTCTTGAATACTTCATTTCATAAAAGATCACTTTTTAGAAACCTCTGAAGAAAACCAAAGTGGAATGCACACAGGGGAGAAAAAGGAGTCCTTTTTTCAGGGTTTCTAAGATGGGGTTTTTGTATCAGGTCTCATCTGATGGTGCGGAACGCAGCTGATGGGTGTCATGAGGGGGTGGCATCTCAGATCAGAGAATGGTCCTGACAAAAAAGAACTAGTCACTGAAAGCATCTTCTTTCCAGAATTCTTAGAGGCCTCATGACATTTTTGAGGCAAGGCTGAGAGCATGGGGGAGTCATCCGAGCGCTTTCCTGTCCCCGGGGTCTTGGCGGTCATCACACATGATCGTTTTATCACCAGGTGAGGCAGTTGAAATTCCCCTGAATCAGTAAATGAAGAGAGCCCAAGTCAGGCTGGCGCTGGCGTGGTCCTAGCTCACGCGTGACACGGCCAGACGTGCTCCAAGGGCCCCCACGCATCACTGACTCATAAAATTCTGACAGCGCCCCTGACGGGATACACACCACCGTCCTCCCCAGCAGCCTCACCTCACAGACCGCGTCCTAGAGCACGGAGAGGACTTGTCCGAGGTCCTGCAGCTGGGAAGTGGCAGACTCATAATTCCAAGCCAGGGGCCCCGGCTTCGAAGTCCTCCCTCGGAACCCTGGAGCCTGAGCACCTCCCAGTATCGCCCGGGCGCCTCCCTCGGCAGGTAGGGAGAGTCCCGTGTGAGGGTCAGGGAGACTTCATGAGCGCCCACAGAGAATTTTAAGAACACTTGACTTATACAAAGAAGCAGAGTCAAACCCACAGTCCAGGATCAATGGTAGAATTGCTGTGAGGTCTTCCATTAAATTTAAGTAACATGGGAACCCATAGCTAGGCTGTGCTGAAATGGATGGATGGGTGGGTGGATGGATGGATGGATGGATGGATGGATGGATGGATGGATGGATGGACGAATGGATGAATGGACAGACGGGTGGGTGGATGGGTGGATGGATGGACAGACGGGTAGGTGGATGGGTGGATGGATGGATGGATGTCATTCTCCAAATGTCCAGTACCGAAAAGGCTCTTTTTCACAAGGTGATAGAAGTTAGTGCACTGAGGGGGGAGGCTGCCTCTTCCCCCCACCTACTCTTATCAGCAACTGAGAGAAGACCCCGCCTCCTCTATCCATTAGCCCCATTGTGAGCTCAGCATCCTGAGAACCCGTGTTACCTACTGAACAGAAGTAGCCACATCTCAAGAATATCATCTATTTCAATGGGACTAATAAATAAGATGAAATGTTAAACGGAAATGGCATGATATACTGTCTTCAGGGCAAACCCTGATAAGAGATTCTGAGTATCGAGCTCTGTTCTAGGAACTTCAGAAATGATTCAGTGATATCATGAATACCACAACGGTGTCATTCAGTTTACATATCAACCCAGCTTAGTATTTCAGGGTATGCAGAAGGCAGGAAAATGCTCCCTGACCAAATATACCGTCACAATCACCAGATTAAAGCAAATATGTAGAATATACTGTCCAAATTATCTAGAAAACCAAGCACATGTGTATCGAGAGCATCCTACATGGGGCCTTCCATACCCTTTTATCAGCAGACTTTGCATCCACGTGCTCAGACTGATCTAGAGAGCCCTTCAACATGGCCACTGAGAACAGCAGTGGTTGAGATACAGAGGGTTTTGCTTATTTTTTCTTTGGTGGGGGAGCAAGTGGAGGCAAAAAATCAGCATGGTTTCAACCCAGCAAAACCAGAGACAGGAGCTCTCCTTACAATTCTGCTTCCAGAAGAATCTCGCTGTGCTCCTTGTTGTCTGCCCCTTGTCATGGCACTTGACATGGATGCTCTCATTGAGGTCTTCTGGTCGACTTGCACTCCACTGCCACCGTAATGACTTCACATTCGTGAAATACTCCTGTGTGGGACCCTCGGAGTCACCTTGCCCCACCCAGACCCAGCACCTTCTTCCACATGCTCCTGAGGGCCTAGGAGAATAACAGTCCCTTCCTTCGTCGGCTGCCTGAAATCCGAGTCCCTACTGCTCAAGCCAGCTCTGTGCCCACTGGCATTCCCTCGTCAGCGATACCAAGACATCACACTCAGGACCTCTGTAAGGATCCCGGGTCTTGGGTGAGGAAATGCACTCCACTCAATTCACCCTGAGAATCACAAATAAAAAACCCCTTGGCTTGTTAGAACACAAGCACATTTTCATCAAAACTACCTCTTTTTATATTATCCCCATGTCACCTCTAGGAAATGCCAAATACCGACCTAAGGACGCGGCATGGGAAGTTAAAGTCACAGCGCTCCAGGAGCCCTCTCTCCAGCACAAGCCGGGGGTCTGCTGAGCAAAGGTCACAGCTGAGGGGGACCTCTCAGGCGCGCGCCAGGCAACGCACGCCTCACGTCCTTCCTCGGTGATGTTAACTAATAACAAGGTAGCATTTCAAAATTTAATAAGCTCCCAATTAAAAGGAACCTAAATAGAGAGTGAGTATACGATAGCTCCTTCTGATAATCTAGTAGGTGCCAAGTAACTATAAAAAGGCAGGAGTGGTGTTAAGAAGGTGTAATTTCTGAAGTCATTTTGCCTGACAGTCCCGTTGCAGCAGGGACTGCAGGAAAATAACAAAGAGCATGTGTTCGGTTTCGCTTTGAGCAGAGTCTGAGACAAACGCCGTTGGTGCCGCAGATGGGGGATGGGGAGCCTGGAAGGAGGGAGGGAGGGAGGCTGGGAAGAGGGAAGAGAGAGCAACAGGAGGGTCCACCACCCAGCTGGCACTGCCAGGGGCATGCTGACGCTGGTCTTGTGCCCTTCCAGGCTGTGTGGCCTGTGTCAGAGGACAGACCCCGGTGGGAAAAAGGCAAATGAATTGACACCTGGCCCTGCCTCCCTCTGGTCCAAGACAGGCATCACAGAGCGTCAATGCCCGATGCTTCGAAACTGAACAACGTCTCAAACCGAGCACCGGCACAGGGACAGAGAGGAAGCCCCAGGAC